AGCAGCAGGGCATCAGCAGCATCATAACAGCAGGTCAGCAGCAAAAGCAGGTCAGCACTCAGCAGCATAGACTAAGGCAGTAGCAGTGATAGAGCAAGGCAGTAGCAAGTCTGGCAAGTGGCAACAACAAGTCAGCAATGAGCAAAGAGCCACATCAGTCTATTATTTCAAGCACTTCATCAATATCAGCATCACCAACTGCCATATTCTTCAAGTCTATCATAATTCATAACAAAAATAACCAAGTTAAAATATATACACATAATGAAAATAAGTAAATTATGATTAGATGTTCTTATATATTACCCTCTTCAAGAAGCTCAACTTCCTCTAAACATTCTTCAATACTTGGAAATGGTGAAGCACGTGACCAATTTTGAGCACAAACAAGACCTTCTACAACTCGAGGAGTTAATGAGCTCCTAAACTGATCTAGAACCCTGCCCCCAGTGCTGAATGAATGCACTCTCAGAAGCTACTGTCGAAACAGGGACAACAAGAACATCACGGGCAATTCTCCCCACAGTAGGAAACCTTGAACAATTGAACTTCCACCAGCTCAAAATGTCAAATTCATCAATATCCTCCGCTGTATCCTCCTCCAAATATTTGTCTAACTCTATTTTTGCATCTCCATTTCTCTCACACTTGTGTTTCTTATACTTACTCTTTAAGACTTCAATCTTTTTATGTTTGGGACTCAATGGAGTTTTGCCATCCTTACTTGAAGATACTTCCTCCCTATTCACATCATTACCAGAAGAAACACGATACTCCTCATACAAAGCATTCAAAGCTACCTTCACATTATCAACTAACTTTGATGCAACAATAGGGTCATAAATTTCAGTTATCATCCACTCAACATAATCAAGCTTATAACGAGGATCAAGGACAACGACAATAAAAATCAGGAGGTTTATTTTTTCTGGATCACCCCAATACTTTTCATATTTTTCTTTCATTCTACAAGCCATAAGACACATATCCACATCATCACTTGAAACCAAATCTTTCATAAGTACAGCAACACTCACCAATTCATGAAAAAACAAATTCAAACTGACATATAAAGAGCAAGAGACATGCAAGGTCAGATCATAAAAGGCTTGTAGAAATTCAGAAAGTCTTCTTACATTATTCCAATCATCAGAATCTGGGCTACCCTTACCATCCCTCTCATTCAAATCAACTACATAGTGAGGGTCTTCCCCAGAATACCTCTCAAAAGCATCTTGAAGCTCAATAGCAGCATTCAACATCAAATAGGTGGAGTTCCACCTAGTAGGCACATCAAGGCACAATCCCTTTTTTGTGTTGATTTTTTCATCTAAGACACATTTTTTAAACCTTTCCAACCTAGCAGGAGATTGTTTGATAAACCTAACAGCATGCCTAACACGTTGAACCGACTCATTAACAGTTTTCAACCCATCAGAAACAACCAAATTGACAATGTGTGCAACACAACGCATGTGAAGGAAACGACCCTTAAGAACCCCAGTTTTCCACCCATTTATTTTCCTTCTCATATACCCAATTGCAGTATCATTTGAGCTAGCATTATCAACTGTTATGCACATGACATTTTCAAGCCCCCAATCAAGCAAACACTTTTCAATTTCTTTGCCAATATCATCACCCTTATGACTAGAAATAGGACAAAAATTCAGAATTCTTTTGTGTAATTTCCAATTATTATCAATAAAGTGGACAGTCAAGCACATGTAATTGATTTGTTGTATAGAGGTCCATGTATCAGTGGTTAAAGAAACTCTTGAATTACACCTTTTTAACACATTTTTCAGCTTTCGTTTTTCAGTTAAATATGTTTCAAAACAATCTTTGGCTACTGTAATTCGAGAAGGAACATTAAATCTAGGCTCTATTACACCACAAAAATGTCTAAAACCTATACCTTCAACAAACTTAAATGGAAGTTCATCAACAATCACCATAAATGACAAAGCTTTTCTAATACTACCAGCATCAAATTTGTGGTATGTCAACCCACTAGTACCACCACTTGGTTCTTTAGAACTTTTAAATGAAAGCAAACTTTGTTTTGAATCTTTAGGGGTGTTAAAGGGATACTTACGACATCGCGAAATATGAGCCCATAACACACTAGTGCCGTTTTTCTTTGCCACACACTTGTAGCTCATCCCACAATACTTGCAAATTGCCTGCATTCGAGAAGGTAAGTCTTCTTTATCAAAGTGCTCCCAAACTTCAGAGCGTTCTTTCATCCTCTTCCTTTTTGCTCCCTGTTCTTTTTTCTGATTTTGAGAGACTTGGTCAGTCTCATGTTCGGATTGAGGCTGGTCAGGAACACCACCCACGTTGGTTGTCATTCAATAATTCGTGGTTGAATAACAATCTGTAAGAATACATGCAAACTCATAAATTAAGAATATTGGATCTTTTAAAGGGAATAATAGGTTGGGGTCGTTGTGTATTAGTCATGCAAACTGTTTTCTTGTTTATGAGGGCTTGGTGCAAAACTTATTATGATATTATATTAACAATTGTTGTTAGATGAAATTAAGTTAATATTGGGTTTTGTTAGTTTTGTTACATATTTTTGAATTGTAGTTAATTTATTTTAGTAAGAATTACAATGAATTTATAGTCCTATAAAAAAAAAAGAGACTTACAGTACCAATAATAATAATTATACCCCTAATAAACAAAATCAGTAGTAACTGGCTAACTGCACCAAAGACAATAACAATTTAGCAATAATAATTAGCCCCCTAAGATTCCACCCCACCACCCAAAAACAATCAAATTAAGCACTAACTGACTAACTGTACCCAAAACAAGTAAAATCAAAATTAACAATAATAACAAAGATCAACAATCTAATAAACACTTATCAAGACAATGATAATGCTATTAATCATGCGAACCCTTGAATTAATAACTAACTAATAATCTGAAACAATCTTCAACAGAGTCCAATCGAATAGAGCTTCAAAATACCAGAAAATTCAGAATGTTTTACTAGACCAAAACCCTAATCAGAATGTTTTACTAGACCAAAACCCAAAATACCCTTGAATAGACCAAAACCCCGAAGCATCAAAATACCAGAAAATTCATAATGTTTTACTAATTTGTACAGAATAGAAAATTCAGAAACAACATCGCAATATGAACATCAAGCATAGATTAAAACCCTAATCAGAATGTTTAACATATTTGTACATGTAATTTGCAGATTTTCGTAATTAACATTTAACACTAATCATAATTAAAACCCTAAAAAAATATGAACATCAAGCATAATCAAAACTTAAAAGCATACCTTTGGACGGTGGACGGTGTCACAGTGAACGCCTGAACGAGTGCCGGTGAACGATGGAGAGTGAGAATTCTGATAAACACAAAAGAGATGATTGAGAAACTGAGAAAGTGAGGGTGAGAGACTGAGAAATTCGCAATGAGGGTAGGGTAAGAGGCGAGGAACTGAGGAAGTCAGGAGAGAGAATCAGAGAATGAGGGTTAGGGGTTTTTTTTCCTTATATACTTAGGGTAAATCTGGGCCTAAATTTCGGTTTTCGGTTTTTTTCGGTTTTCCATTTCCTCAAACCGAAACCAAACCGAAAACCGAATTTTTTTTTTTTTTTAAAACCGAACCGAACCACTTCAAAAAAAAACCGAACCATATTTCTTATTCGGTTCGGTTTTCGGTTCGGTTCGGTTTTAACCCGAATTTGTTTCACCCCTACTCCTAACCGTCAAAAGCCCCCTTCCCTGGTAGCCACCAACCTAGACCACTCTGACGCTAACCCCACCAACCCCCCTTCCCCGGTAAACCCAACCCAACCCTTTGAGCGAAATTCTTCGATAGGGGTTACGAAACCCAAAATCCCACCTACCCTCCCTCGAAAGCAATACAACGTCCACCAATTTTTAGGTTTAGTGGTGAACATCGTTTGAGGGTTGGGTTTCGGAATAGTAGAGGTGGGGGCTTCTTATTTAGGTGGAAGGGCGTCGGGGTTGGGTGAGGGGGACTTTCGGCGGCGAACAACAAGGAGGGGTGGGGTCTGCTCGACAATCGGGAAGGGCGAAGTGGTCGACGATAGGTATGGAGTGAACGAAAAAGGGGTGGAGGGGCTAAACGGGATAAGGGTGGGAGTTTTTTTAATTTTTTATAAGAAACAAAATCAATTTTTTCAAAAGAAAGAAATTAATATAAAAAAAATGTCATAGTCAATCACAATATAACACGTGTCGAGTTTAACCTTTTAAAAAGGTTGCTGACTTTTTGTTCAATTTAGTTTAAGCAGATTTATGTCAAAAGTCATTTTATTTTGAAATAATTCAATGATCGTTTTATTTTTGAAAAACCGGCTAAAGGTCTTTTTATTTTTGACAAATTTTCCAAATTATTTTCCACCGTTAACAAGCAAAACTATGTACCCAAAAGGTTTCCTCCGAATCAAAAGAAAACAAGTAACCTGGTGATAATCAAAGTATTAGAATAAAAATATGTCTAGAAATTGTCATGTGACTTCAATTGGAAACATTACATGTTATAGTCAATACTCAATAGTTGTGCCTCGTTTATTAATCAGTACCCATCAAAGATATTAGTCTAATGTCAATGCATTGATTTATTGAACACGAAATAGAATGCATGGTAATTACATAACTGTTGATGCAACTTCCTTTTCAAGTCTATTTTGGGAAAACAAAGACTTATTTTCTATTCAATTGTATAGATGCAGAGGGGTTGGTGAGTGTGTATATGTTGGCAAAACGTCTATTTGTCTTGTCCATTTGGTGTCAAAAACTAACTAGGGAGAGAGATTGATGTATACTAAGCAATAATTATATATCTATATATATATATATATATATATATATATATATATAGCCACATATTTACAATGCACAACCCCTTTTAATCTGCCCAATCCGACCTAGTCTAAAGTGATCCGATCTATAATTTAATCTGCACGAGCATAATGATTTAGCATGACATCTTACAGGAGTAAAAAATGACGGACAAGTCCGTCACTTCTTCCACCGACCTTCCAAAGCATACACTACAGGTACTAGAAAGAGAAGGAAGGTCCACACCGAAGAGGATGGCAGCGAGACAAGGTGGCATAAAACAGGCAAGACCCGACCCGTCCTCATCAACGGTAGAGTGAGAGGATACAAAAAGATCTTGGTGCTCTACACGAATTACGGCAAGCAAAAGAAACCCCAAAAGACTAACTGGGTTATGCATCAATATCATTTGGGTGTCGATGAAGAAGAAAAAGATGGGGAATTAGTAGTTTCTAAAGTCTTTTACCAAACACAGCCAAGACAATGTGGATCCATTTTGAAGCTAAATGGGCGAATAGCAAACCCGGGTCCAAGGAATGAGACGGGTGACTATTGCAGTCATTCCTCCATCATTTCCTTTGATCAGAGAAGCAATAACAATACCAAAGGAGCTGCTTCAACAGCTATGTTCCCGTTTTGCTGTCCATAATAGCTTCTTAATCAATAATCACCTATCAAATCTTCTGTACATAAAAAAGAACATAAACAGGCAACAATTCTTTTTCAACAGAAGATGACCAGAGACTAATAAAACTAGCCACTGATTTTCCCTAATTCTGTTCATCAGTGGTATTACTGGTATATAAGTTTATAAGGAAGTGTACATAGGTGCTGTAATAAGATCTAATATGACCCAACACATTTATTTTAAAATAGCATCAAACTGAATGTAATAAAGGTACAATTCTAACTATCATATTTATGTTTAAATTGCCAGATTCTCATTTTTTACTAGTAAATCAGTGAACAGATGATGCAGAAAAGTTTGTCAATATCAGGAAATGAAACAAACGCTACTTAAAAAGGCAATCTATACATCTATACATAGTATTTAAAAACACAAACCATCATCTCCTCATATTTTTAAACTAGCTTTAATTCAATACATGTATGAATGTTATTTGATTCATTTTCCCCTAACTTAATATCTTCTACAATTATATTTAATTTCACTTGTCTTCTCCTTTATAAACTAAACTATTCATTTTTCAGTTAAAATATATAATAAAGTAAAAAATTATATTGTACACCTATAAATATCTCGTGCATTGCACGGGCCACAAGGCAAGTTATATCTAAAACACATTAGCAATGACTTTCTGGCGAAGTACCTAAAAAGGTAATAATATCTCAAACACATTTCTTCACAAAGCATTCTAGCATAGTAGTACTTAGATACTATGATACCTACATGACTTATATATCTCAATGAAACACCAATCCCCTCTCACATTTCTCCTCATAATCTCCAACTTAGCGGTATACCATAATGAATTTTATTTAAAATTTTCACAATTAAAGTGATTTTTTTTTTATTATTATTAATAAATTCAAATAACATACAAGTAAATTAAGTTCCACATATATGAAGTATAAACGAAATAATTTTCTTAAAATTACGGTCAAAATTGATTAAGTTTGACCTCAAAGTCTAAGCAAAATAATCTTTCAACTCTTTAGAAGGAGAAACCCTCACATATAGTCAACCAGGTGGCCTTTACATCCACCAGAAAAACTAAATCACCAAATTTCTTATTGCTTGTCACCTACAAGAAACAACCAACACCCATACAATTAGAGCAAACAATCTCCGAAAATATGAGTTCAGCAGTACGGCAGATAAAGAAAATATTATAAAAGCAACCCATCAAAAATAGAGAATTTAGTATATCTGCTCTTTAAGAACTTCAAGAACAAAACCTGGCAAATCTTAAATTTCTTAATAGAGTCTCTCTATTTCTGTTCAATTAAACATAGTACATGTCCCCTACCATCCATTGAGGATAGGCTCCTCTATGACAAATTATCTCCCCAACAATATACATATTACTACTTAAACTAAACCTATATCCTCACAAACCCCATTACAACTCCTTTACAAGAGAGCCAGATTGGCCTTCATGTACACACAAAGGAAAAACAGTTTTTTATGATAGCGGTATGCTGAAAGTAGACTATTTGGAATTAATAATAAGTCACTAATCAAAGTTCCTGCCAATACCTGGCTCCAACTACTCTCCTTTTCAGAACAATTTCCTTAGGCACCGTGGGAACTTTTTCCTAATGCTCCCGTCTATTCTTCAAGAACTACCACCCTCGTTGGCTGTATGTTTGTATTTTCATCTCTGCAATATACCAATAGTCATATGTAGGTAAGAAATAGTGGCAAAATTAAAGCAGAGGAAGCTTATATTCTTTGTATTTCAGCAAGCAACTGCAAAAGCACACTAGCCATCATAGTGAATATGTAAAATATAAAAGATCATCATCAACATAGTTACACCTTGTTTGGATACAAGGAAAGGAAGGGGAAAAGAAAAAAAAGAAGGGAAAGGGAGGGGGGCAGTTTCTATTGTTTTGGATAACATTTGTAGCCTAGTAGGTGGTTAGGGAAATGGAAGGAAAATTTTGAAATTTTCCATTAATTGTTTAAGAATAAATATTGGAAAAATTGATTTTAACAATTCTAACTTTAGATCATGTGCTATAGATAGTCCCACCTTTTGATTATTACACAACCGACCCAACTTAGGGGATAGTCCCACCTTTTGATTATTACACAACCGACCCAAGTTAAGGGGATTTTTCCTAAAACGAACCCTAACCTGTTGTAACTAGTTTAATCGGTTAGAGGTGCCACGTGTTGCATTTTTATTGGGCACTATTTTTTGTATCTTTATTTGATAAAAAGACCTCCATCATCCTCTCTCCACGCACCTCCTCCAAGTCCTCCCTTTCACCAACCTCATTGCTTGCCCAACCAGCGCCTGCCTGACCACCTAGTCCTCTAGCCACCTACATAGGCTACCATACCCAACCACCCAAGCCTCACGAAACCACTACCTTTTTCTCTTTTTTTTTTCATGGAAAACCATCCACCACCCCTGTAAAACCACCATGAACACCACCTCTCTCCTTTAACTCTTCACCACAAGCAACACCCTCTCTCTCTCTCTCTCCTCTTGCCCTGTGTGAACCCTGACAGGCCACCCAGCCACGTCGACCACCACATTCTTTTTCTCTCTCCATTACGCCAACCACGCTGGAAAATGGCAGTGAACCCGGAAAATGGGTTTGGGATTGGCATAAGATATGGAAAAGTGGTTGCGGGTCTGAAGCTAGTTGTTGTGGCAAATGGGTTAGGGTTTCCAATGATGGTGTGGGTGGTGGAACTGCATGAAGGCTAGTTTGTGATGGACTAGCAGTGAGGGTGGAGCTGATGAAGGTTGAGAGTGAGAGAGGAGATAAATTATAAGAAAAGTTTAAAAAAGCTCAATAAAAATGCAACACATGGCACTAGTAACTGGTTAACCCGGTCATTTGAAGCCAAGGATTGTTTTGGGAAAAAGTCGCCCAAAGTTGGGTCCATTATGAGATAATTAGAGGGTGGGATTGTTTATAGAAATTGGCCTAAAGTTAGGACCATTAAAATAAAAATTTTCCTAAAATCTTTTCAAATTTGAAAAAATTTGGAAATATAATAAATTATACAAACTGAATTTTTATGAAAAACAACTCTACCCTTTTATTTTGAGTACTTTCCCTTAATAATGCTCTAATAAATTGCAATTCCATAAATACAGCCTATGTTCACCGGACTCAGCTGAAATGCCGGAGTGTCCGTGTCGACACGACACGACGCGGGTTCGGACACGAAATTCGTGTCAGATTCGGCAATCTGTACTCGGACACTTCAGAGAGAGGGGAAGGGGAGAAATAGAGCTGATTTTTTTTTTTTTAAATGCCTAATTTTTCAAGCAAAGGATAAATATAGCTATGGATAAGTAAGAAATTTGAGGGAGCGAGAGGTTGAAGAAGAAAGACAATACAAAAAAAAATCAGAAAGTCAAAGAGATAGTGCTTTATAGCTGTATTCCTCCCTTTCATTGGTTTTTTTTATTTTTTTTTAAATCCCTTTTTACTGTTGTAACAGTTGTGTCCATCACTTTTTTACTCCTTTATTTAATTTCTTACAGTGAGTTACTGAGTTACTTAAGTACTTCATCTTTATCTTTTTTTTTTTTAAAAAAAAAAAACCAAATAATAAGTGTTATTGTCATAGTTTAGGATTATATGGTATAAATTTTTTGAATATTAATGAAATATTTAAATATTTTGTAATGTAATTTTTTGCAAAAAATGAAAATGTTGTGCCCCCGTACCTGTGTCAAAATATAGGACATAATCCCCATCTCCTAAAATTTTGGAAATTAACGAATCGGACACTCAGACATGTGTCTGTGTCCACACACGTACCCTAGTCCATGTAACATAGAATACAACCACTTTTTATAAATTTCAATTTCCAAATATACTGTCCATGTCAGCAGTTCAATTGATTAAAAAAAATTTATCCAGTTTTATCACAAACTGCTACTTTAAAAAGCGGATTAGATAGGAAAACCGCTACTTGAAGTAGCGGTTTCCACCTTATAATAAGTGAAACGCTAAACATCGCCCGCAATTTACCATATAAAGCCCACAAATATGTTATGATTTGACCATTATGCCCTTTTGCTAAAATTGAGATAATCTCGGTGTAAAAAATGTGGAGCCGTACTGGCTCGTCGGGGGAGACCGGATGGCAGGCCGGAGATGCGGGGGACGCCGGAGGTACGTCGTCGTCGACGGAAAACGAGGTAAGTGACCGCTAAAATTCACGGTTTACCGTCGTAGTGGCTACGGCGCCTAGGGTGGACGCCCAAACCGTAGCCTGGACGTCCAAGCCGGACGCCAGAACCACCAGAGTGGCGTCCAGGCTAGACGCCCAGACCACCAGAGTGGCGTCCAGCCCAGACGCCCAGACCACCAGACTGGCGTCTTGGGCAGACGCCACTCCACTGGGTGAGGCGGCCCTGCCAGGCGCCAGTCCAGTGGGTGTGGCAGCCCTGGCAGACGCCACCTTTAATAATTAATTTTTATTTTTTCCTTTTTGATTTTGTTGTTGTTTTTTATTTAATTTTTTTGTGAAAATAAAAAATCGAAAATGATTTTTTTAAAAAATTCGAAATGGGTTTTTTTTGGGGTAATTAGAAGAACATTGAAGAACTATCTATTCCTCTCTCTAATTAGTTTTAGTTTTAGGTTAGGTTAGGATTAGTCTTCATTAGTAGAGAGAGAAAGTGTGGTTTTCTTCGTTAATGAACTTGGATTTTGAAGAAGGAGCTTGTTCAATCCTTTGTAGACCTTCATCTTCAATTAATGAGCAATCTCTTACTCTTTCTCTTTACCTTTGTTTTTTTATTTTGCTTATTTGCTTTTATTTTTCTTCTTTGCTTATTAATCATGTTGATGCTTATTGATTTGATGATTGATATTGTTTTCAATATGATTTGTGAGTAGTCATCTAGCCAAGGGTGTGGGGATGGTGTAGTTGCTAATTGTTCATGCTTTTAATGTTGGGGTTATGTTAATGGTCATTAAAGTCTTTGCATGCTTGATATTCTTTGGTCTTTCTTGCAAGTGCACATTGTTAGTTGATCAAAGATGAGTCTTTACTAACAAGTAACGGAAGTTGACTTAGTTGAGATTCATTACTATCGATTGTTATTTAATAGTACCTCCTACTATATGGTTCTAATGTGGAAACATAGAGGCTATGTTAGGAGAAGCCAATTGACCCCGGAAGGCGGCTAGATTGGACCCTTTACTTCGGTATTCATGCATGTTTAGTTTACCATTGATATGCTACTTTGTTATTGTATGGTCAAGCGTCAACTTCACCTACCCATTTCC